GGTGAAGCTGCTGGTTCAGGTGAAATTGTAGGTCCTGGTGTTGGCTCAGGTGAAGGTCTGGGTATGATTATTATTCTAGTTGTGGGTTCAGGTGAAGTTGTAGTTGCTGGTGTTGGCTCAGGTGAAGGTCTGGGTATGATTATTATTCTAGTTGTGGGTTCAGGTGAAGTTGTAGTTGCTGATGTTGGTTCAGGTGAAGGTCTGGGTATGATTATTATTCTAGTTGTGGGTTCAGGTGAAGTTGTGGGTTCAAGTGAAGTTGCAGGTCCTGATGTTGGTTCAGGTGAAGGTCTGGGTATGATTATTATTCTAGTTGTTGGTTCAGGTGAAGTTGTGGTTACAGGTGACGTTGTCAGTTTAGTTGTTGGTACAGGTGCTGGTCCCTTCTTTCCAGACTGTCCTGTTCCATCTCCGTGTCCACATTTACATGGTTTGAGCTCAGTGATTATTTTAATAATTTCAGCACTGGGGAAGTCCATACTTATGACACCTAAGCAACCATGATTTTCTGAACTGGTTTTGTGTTGCTTCAGAAAGTTGTAAAGCTGTTCGTTAACTTTTTGAGCCAGTTTTATTGGTTTCTCAGTTGTTGATGCTGACGTGCCAGTCACCATAATGTGACGTTCACAGAGGTTTGACTTGATATTCTTTATTTTTTTTTCCACATTTGTGAGCCTATTATGTTCAAAGAAATGTGAGTCATGGCTTTCTGTTCCAGCTCGAAACACATCAGTCTTGAGAAAAACAATCTTACCCCTTGCATCCTTCATTTTTGGTGCTAGTGTATTTGTCCATATTTTACTTCGGAACTTGTCAATTATTGTCTTCATCAAGTCTTCAGCATCCTTATTATTATGAAAAACTAACTTATGGAATGTCACTTTTAGAATCACAGTCTCATTCCTGTGGTTTTCTAAAAAATCAAGAATATCTCTAAGAACTTCACCTAAGGGAATTTCTTTCCCAATCAACCAGTGACTATCCCCAACATAAATGGTTTTTTTAGGAATCCAATTTCTAGAATGCAAGTCAAAATATCGTACTCCTACATTAAGTTGGTCTTTCAAATTCCAAACTTGACTTTGCAAATAACTTGCAAATATTCCTTTGTACAATGTTAAGCTTTCATGTGTTCCAGGGATAGCGATAGCAGATAGTGGGGTCTCTTCAGGTATAGACTTCATCCACTCCCGGTTATAAGAGCTTTGACTCAGGACTGGGTTTTCATTGAAAACTGACTGTGAACTTGAGCAGGTTAATCTGATGAGAGGAAGAAATTTTTACTCTGTTAATTCTTTTTCATTCAGAACCCCCCCCCCCCCAAACTAAGGCATATTAGCAATATTTGCTATTTATATATGTTTTTGCAATCACAACAAATTAGTCTTAAAAGTAACACTAGTTTGAACTATTAAAAACACAGCACAATTTATAATTTTATGTTTTACTTACATAGAGAAAAACCAGAGGAAATGATAGAACTCCATAATAAGGTTTTAGGCTTGTCAGTTGAGTTCCAAATTTCTTTCCAAAATGTGTTTAAATTATTGTTTCAGCAGGGAAATAATTCACAAAAATTTAAAAAGCTGTTAGCTGCAGACATGACTGTAACAATAGACAATGGTGTGCACTTAAGTGAGCTGCTGGTAAAGTGAACATGAAGATAAACTTTGATTTGCATGTTTCTGCTCTCTTATCTTTTATTTAGAGTAGTGTAGGAGAGGGAAGGAGAGAAATTCTTGTGTTACTCTTTTGGATGTATTAGTGATGAGCAGCAGGAGGAGTATAGAGCACGATGCTTTTGTGGATGAATCATCTGCCTCAGAATGTGAATAAAACTCAGAATACTGTGGAAATAGAGCCTGCTCATCTCCTTTTTGTACACAACCTATGTGTTGAGCTTCCACTTCAGCTTGTGGTCAGTGCAGATACACATAAGTGCACCGTGGGTATAAAAATGAGTGAAAAAACAGCCAATGTCCAAAAGAAAAGCTTCAGAAAGTCAGGAGAACTATTTCTCAAGACTTCTTTAAAAAATTACAAGAAACCGTGGCTCACTTGAAGTAAAATATAAAGAAATAATGGGGGGGAATAGATTTTTGTACAAGGAATGTACAAGATGTCCCAGATCAAATACGCTAAGCTAGCTAAGGCTAGTTATCATGCTAAGCTGACTATGCTACACACCTAAATGATGAGGTAAAAAGATACCATTAAAGACTGGTAAAGCTTTATCATTACTGTTTACAAACATGTTTTGTTTCCATGTTTGGTGCTGGGGGAGACTTGTCTACATGAGGTTTTGAGAGCTTTGCAATGAAGAGAGGCCTCATCTCTCAACATTAGTTGCCAACCGCACTAATTCTCTTGGTTGAATGGGAGCAAATCCAAGCTGGAAGGTTAAAAGATCTGGTGGAAAGTCTCCACAGGAGAGTGTAGAATAAAATTTAACAATTACACGTACACATATGTTCTTTTAGCACTTTTGGACTTTGGTTCACTGAATAGCCCTTTAAATGTAACCTGCTTATAAAGGGTTAGTTAGTTAGTCTGTTTAATCTTGCACATGGCATACCCATTTACCTTCTGTGTTTGGTTGTAATGTGCTGTAACGTCATCCTTATCCTGTCCAATAAGCTTCTGTCTGTACACTCCTTATCCTCTTGTTGGCCACCTGTTACATCTTAGTGAGCAGAAGAATGATCAGATAAGACCTAGCATGAACATTTCACTTAACAGTGGCAATCCACAAGAGGAACAATCAGTTAACTGGGTGGAAATGAGCAGAGTGGTTTTCAGCTGCAAAGGATTTTTCTCCTTCTGACGCCTACCTCTGCGACAGCTTTGTGCTAAGGAGCTAATCCTCCTTTTCTTTTGACTTTGCAAGATGTCTATGAGAACTCTCCCCCTGGTTTTCATTAATCTGGGTGGAGAGATGCTTTACATACTGGACCAACGCCTGCGAGCTCACAACACCTCAGAGGACAATTCAGAGAAAGGTAGAGGCAGCTGACATCTTTGTAGATGTGTCTTCCCAGTTTGTGTCAAGCTGTAGCAGTCTGATGCCAATTTATAAACTAAAAAAAAGTGCTTTTCTTATGTCAGATGCATAACTACCCAAATTACAAATCTGCTTTCCTTCTTTTTCTTTCTTCTTTTGTTGGAAACCCAACATGGCTGCAGGAGTGTGGTCAGAAAATGACAGGAAAAGAGGTATTACTTGAGCGTAATGTTCTTTAGTCAGCTCCTCCAGCATCTCTGAGCTCTCTTAACAAGTCAGAAAATATATAATTTTCTTGAAAACACATGTGAAATTGTCACACAGAGCCAGACAAGTAGCTAGACACCTACCACAAATTTGTATATACAGTGCACCAGCCACTTTATTTGGTACACTTTTGCACTCTGGTCTTCAGAACTGTGTTAATTCTTTGTGGCACAGGTTCAGCAAAGTGCTGGAAACATTCCTCGGAGATTCTCATCCATATTGACATGATAGCATCACACAGTAGCTGCAGAGTTGTCAGCTGTGCATCCACGATATGACTCTGCCATTGCACCACATCCCAAAGGTGCCCTATCTGATTGAGATCTGGTGACTGTGGAGGCTATTTGAGTAAGTGAAGTATGGCATGATTTTAGCTTTGAGACATGGCACAAAGCTGGAAGCAGCCATAAAAAGAGATTGGTATACCTGAACCTTAGACACAAGGATCAATCTATGCGCATAAGGGGCGATCGTGACTCAAGAGTTGGCAGTTCGTCTTGTCATCGGAAGGTTGCCGGTTCGAGCCCCAGCTAAGTCAGTCTCGGTCATTGTGTCCTTGGGCAAGACACTTCACCCGTTGCCTACTGGTAGTGGTCAGAGGGCCCAGTGGCACCAGTGTCCGGCAGCCTCGCCTCCGTCAGTGCGCCCCAGGCCAGCTGTGGCTACAATGTAGCTTGCCATCACTAGTGTGTGAATGGGTGGATGACTGAATGTAGTGTAAAGCGCTTTGGGGTCCTTAGGGACTAAGTAAAGTGCTATACAAAATACTGCCCATTTGCCATTCATGAATGAGAGTCTGAAAAAAGAGCACTCAGAGTTAAAACACATATGAGGCTATTTGCTCACAGAAGGTGGACAAGAAAATGATTGGACTAGAGCAATGATGTCACCAGTTTGACAGGTTGGGTAAGAGGAAGTGATGTAAAGAATAGACAATCAGCCCAAACACCAAGGAATTCAGGCAGATGAATTAATACAGATTTTCCTTAACTTATACTTAAGCTTCATTTGAATAGGTGTACTTAACAAAGTGGCCAGTGAGTTTATTTAGACTGTCTCCCATATATATTTGGAGTTGTATAAATTTTAAAAAATGCATAAAACAATGGTAAACAACCATTTAAAAATAAAAAATTTACCATTTTTTTCCTTTTTCATGACCTCTGTGTTTATCGACCGCACTAAGAAAGAAGTAGCTTCAATTCAAAAGCAAAATTCTCCACCTTTCTGTTTGGCTGCTTTTCCATTTCACAGTCATGAATGACATCGTTGGGACCATGTTCAGTAAAGCCTTCATGGATGAACTTCTCAAACCTCAGCAGCTGTATTCTCACAGGACAATGAAAACGGTGCTAACTCGGTTAGCGCACGCCTCCATCATGAGACTGAACCCGGCCAGCATGGACAGGGTAAATACCAAATACCAGGAACAGGAGCACTAGATTATAAACAGCAAGTGAACTGAGAAACTTTTTAAAGTAAAAATCTTCCCCTTGTTCACAATGAAAGTTTTTCCCTTTACTGGAAAAAAATGCCAGGAAAAACAGAGTCGATTCATTGATCTCAAACCTATGACTCAGTCCTTGAAGTTCGGAAATAAGCTTCCACAGTTTACTCATTACCTCTCCCTATAATGCAGGACTGTCAAATCTGCACCCATAAAATTTACTTTACTTAATGGAGCAATGATTTTATGCAAATCCCGAGTCATTAGGGACTTATAGTCATGTGAAAAAGAAAGCAGTCCTGTAAAACCTTCCTGCTTCCATAGGGAATACTGTATGTAGCAGCCAGGTGCTGCTAATCAAATGCATTTCATAAACTTAATGTGAGCAAGTATGTCCACTTGTCAAGTCTAACAAAATGCATTTGGAAAACAACAGTTTGCAGGTCAGGACCATTCAGGTGTGTGTTAACACAATGCCACAATCTTCTCAGGATGAGATGTCCTAGAAAATTCACTCAGAAGTCAGACTGTGCAGAAAACCCAGGAGCTACATCTCAGACTTTACAGGCAACAATTGGCATGTTAAATTTTAAAGTTCATGACAGCACAACTAGAAAAAGACTGAACAAGTGGTTTGTTTAGAAGAGTTGCCAAAACAAAGCGTCTTCTCTATAAATCATTCATGGCAGCAGAGCACAGGTTTGCAAAGCTGTATCTGAATAAACCACAAGATGGAACGTGTCCTGTGTACGAATGAGGCCAAAGTGGAGATGTTTCGGTAAAATCTACAGCACCACATTTGGGGAAAGCCAAACGCAGCATACCAGCAAAACACCTGACATCAACTGTTAAGCACGGTGGTGGACGTGTAATCGTTTGGGCTTGACCTGGACAGCTTGCAGTCATCGAGTCAAACACAACCTTCTGTGTATACCAAAGTATTCTAGAGTAAAATGTGAAGCTATCTGTCCATTACCTAAAGCTTGGCTGAAATTTGGTCATAAAACAGAACGATGATTCCAAGAACAGCAGCAAATCTGCAAAAGAAAAGAATCAAAATGTTGCAGTGGTCCAGTCAAAGTCTAAATCTCAGGTGACTGAACTGCTCTGCACAAGCAAATTCCCACAATCCTTACTGAGCTGAAGCAACACTGTAAAGTAGAGTGGGCTGAAACTTCTCCACAACGATGTGAGAGACTGATGAAGTCAAGCAGTTACTACTTATTACTTCTAAAGGTAGTTCAACGAGCAAATGAATTGTGGGTTGTAGTTAGTTTCTCACAGGACTGTAACTCAACATATATTTTATAATTGTATTATTTGTTTCTGAGAGTTCTTAATTTTTATTGAGGGTCAGATGATTTTTTACTTGTTACTTTCTTGATTTGTCTTATAATTTCTTTGTTATTATTATTAGCTTTTAATGTTATTGTTTTAATTGCATCTTTCTCTGTCATATTAGTCATGTGAAGCAGTTTGAAGTGCATTAACCTCACGGAAAGTCCTACACAAATTGCCTTCTCTCAGATATTGATTGATAATTGATTGTCAGATTGTTCTGGTATTTTATTAATACATAACATGACAAAAAATGTAAACATTTTACAGCTCTGTTAATTTTTTAAGGTGTAGATTTGTGTTTTTGTTCTTGTAGCTTTATGAGCTAATGGTCATGGCTTTCAAATATCAAGTCTTCCTTTGTCTGCGGCCAAAAGACCTGCTGCTCATCTCATACAATCACATGGACACCATCAGGGAATTCGTGAAAGACACTCCCATGGCCGTGAACCAAGTCGATGAGACACACAGGAAAATCATTGAGGTATGACTCAGATAACTGAAGTTATATAAACCTTGTATTTATAAGGTGCAAGCATCCTCTGCAGCCATCGTCTGTCTTTGATGTAGGCATACTCGTCTTTATCAGAGGGTGAACTCCAGCTTCTCAGACAGACTCTCCTCACATTTTTCCAAGACATGCACGTTCGTGTGAGTCCCCTGCTTGAAATCCCATCCTCCTCAAACATATTAATATCAAATTAAACATTTCATTTTTCTGCTTTCAATTAATGCTCTCTCTTTTTTTAAGGTATCACTTTTCCTAAAAGATCAGATCCAAAATCCCAACGGACGGTTCGCCCTGACGACGTCAGGCCCAGTGCCTCATGGGACTGATGTTCCTGGGCTTATTAGGTATGTAGGTTACAGTGTGTGCAGATGGTTTACATATAGTTTTGAAATGAATTTCAAGGAATCCATAAATGTAAATCAAAAATATGTCCTCAGTCATATCTGTCACTGTCAATGTAATAGAGCATTTTATGCAAAGTAATAAAGGTCAGCTATGCGCATTTATCCTTCCCCTGATAGTAAGCGCTCAGATGTGCCCCCTTTAAGCAGAAATACATTTTGTATACATGCATTCTTCAGTTGTAAGATTTCTGGGGGGATTTTTGCACATACTGCCTGTTTCAAATATATCCACAACATCCACAACGGTATCAGATCTGTGCTTTGGCCCATATGTGTCTTAAGTGTGCCAAAGTGACCATATCAAAAGACTTCAAAGCAGTCATTTCATCAGTCTTTCACTAATTTCTTTGGATTATTTTGTTTACAATGAAAAACAAGCACAGAAAAGACCTAAATTTAACCTTTGTTTGTCTTTGTTGAATCAGAAAAGCACCTCCTGCCTCTGTACCACGTATCCCTTTACTTCTACAATGTGATATTTTTACATAAGTGCTGATTAAAAGCATGTGCTGTAAGCATCATTCATGCAAACTAATACACATGCGAGTACTTTATTAATGTCTGTCATTAATGAGTCTGCCATTCTTTGTCAGATTCTCAGTGTCTTTATCACATATTTGCTTCTAATTCAAGTTTAGACATTATAAGCAGAATTAATTTCTACCGTCAATGTTTATACACTGAGCCTGATTTAACATCTGCCACTTCATTAACGCCAATAGATGTGGCCACTCTGTGGCCTGGTGGTCTGATGCAACTCTGAAGTCACCGCCAAAAGGCTGACCAATCCCAACTTTCAATTTTCTTTAAAAAAGAATGTGTCCACAATCCAGAGTGTCGCCATCTGTTTCCTGTTTTCAAAGGATATTTGACTGTCGCGGCAGAGAAGTGAGACGAAGGGAGTTCCTCTCTGGAGGGAGTTACACCAGCTCCATCAGAGAGGGGTCTTTCGAGCTGCATGGAAACAGAGTGATCAGACTCGGCATGAACATGTATGTAAATATGCTGCTGGACACTACATGGTGAACACACACACTGAACCTGTGGGTGACACTGCTGCGTTTCATGACTTAAAGGTACACTGTGGATCATCCAGAGGAGACACACACGTCCAGGGCTCCCTCTGTAAAGGTAATAACATGTCAGGGAGGTCACAGATTTCATTTTACAGTTATGGTTGGTGATATATATATATATATA